GGGGGGGGGGGGAGGCAAGCTTTAACCTTTGATTTTGTTTTCCAAATAATTTCTAAACAAAATAATTATTTTACACACACTTTTTTAGGAATTCTCTGGGTGCCATTTTTCAGTGACTGTATATGCATTGGACAGATCTTACTTGCTTTTCTCTTCTCCATGCAGAATGAAATGTGCCTGGCCACTCAGCAACTTTCTAAGCAACTGTTGGCATATGAGAAACAGGTAACTTGATATTCCTGTGGCATGTGATGCTGTGCCCAGGACTTTCCTAACTGGAGTTCTTTAAAAGAAAGTCTCAATGACATTTTTAGAGCCCTTTCACCCTCCCTCTCTTGTTTTCCCCTAGTCAATTTCCACTTCTTTTCTTGCCTTTTCCTTTCCCCTGATAAAGTCTAACTGGTGATTATCTCAGAGTCTGTGTGATGTATCCTCATTAGCCTTCAGAAGTGATCAGCTGCCCTTGACCACAAGTGAATTGACACTCACAGTTCTAGGAAATAAGCCCCGAGATACTGAACAGAAGGGCGATGGCCAACCAAGGACTGGTTTGGGAGGGGCACTTGTGTGCATCCTGGGGCCAGAGCGAGGGGAGAGCTAGTCTGCTGTTAGACGCTCTGACGTGCTGTGCTGGCGGGGGAAGGAAGGATGTGGATGGGGAGGGCGGGGTGGTGCAGTGGTGCTGAATTCCCCAGCATTCCATTAACACCTGGCTCTTCCGTTCTCCCATCTTAGAATTTTGCTCTTGGCAAAGGCGATGAAGAAGTAATTTCTACACTCCATTATTTTTCCAAAGTGGTGGATGAGGTAAGATAGCAACATGGCAAAATTTTTTTGATTCTTATTTGAACTTTCTTTCAGCTTTCACTTTGGTCCACTTTCCATTTTTAGGTACCTACTTAAATATCTAAAACGTTATCTCAACTTGTTGATGTCCCAAGGTTTGTTTCATAAAGGAGGTTGTATACTCTCCCATTTACTTCTGGTTTGAGGGGAAGGGCTTTGATATACGTGAACAGTAGATCAAAAGAAAGATTTCCAAACGTTTAGTTTCCTAAGGAGAGTGTATTATTAGTCTCTCAGGACTGGTGTAATAAATTACACATAGGTGGCTTAAAGCAATAGAAATTTATTCTCTCTCAGTTCTGGAAGCCAGAATTGTGAGGCCAAGTTGTTGGCAGGGCCGTGCTCCCTCCAGAGGCTCTAGGGTGTAGGGGAGGGTCCTTCCTTGCCTCTTCTGGCTTCTGGTGGCTCCAGCTGTTCCTTGGCTTGTGACAGCATCGCTTCACTCGCCACCCTTCCTTTTCACATGGCCTTCTCCCCGTCTCCACCTGACCCTCATGTTTTTTCTCTTGCCTGTGTCCTCTCTTCTTATAAGGACATTTGTCATTGGATTTAGGGCCCACCTGGATAACCCAGGATGATCGCATTTCAAGATCCTTCGTTACATCTGCAAAGACCATTTTCTCAAATATCCACATGTTCTGGGTGGGGAACACCCAGAACACATTCCTTTTGTGGGGAACACGGTTCCACCCACTACAAAGGGTTTCATACAACTGCTATTGTAGCTGTATGGTTTAATACACTTGGAAGGTTTGTCGAAAGTGGGTATTGTTGTAGGAAAAGTACATAAATCCTCATTGTAAAAAAAAAAGTTCAGATACTTCTGGTGCTGGGCAGAACCCTCTTCAAAATTAGATAGGTTTAAACTGTGTCACCTTTCAAGGAGTTTATCCTAGAAAATCATGATAAAGAATGTTCAGAAAAGAGAATATGCAGATGCCACTTAGCTGTTAACTCATTGATATGAAGTAAACACTGTCTTCAGATTATAAAATGGGAAACTAATATTCATGTAAAATTGTACTGGTGGCATTTTCATTCATTCAGCAAATCAATCCAGCGGGCCGTCGTTCACTCAGCAAATGCAGTTGACCCCTGCTGTCAAGCACAGGTGCTGTTTGGGGCACTGGGGACACCAGACAGCAAGCTGACCAGTTCTTTTTGGGCTCATCCTCTATCCCACTCCTGTGACTTTCTTTAAAATGTGTGTGGAAATGGATGGATAGTATAATTAGGAGCAAAAAGTAATTTTTTTGGAAAGTGAGGAGAAAAATGTTTATTAACCAACAGTGAATAAATAACCCGGGAGAAGCAAGGACCACACCCACTGGAGTCATGTGTTTTCTTGACCAGAAGAGCGTGGCTAAGGACACGTGGTTAGTCGTCAAAACCCCAGAACCAAGGTTTCCAGTTAAAATATTTACTCGCAACCATATTTTCACGGGCAGGAATGGTGATGATTTTAGTGGAGGGTGAATCACTCTCCAAGGACAGAAGCCTGGAAGTGTGATTGTCTAGGTGGTACCATGGCCTCCAGGAAGTTCAGCACCATAAGGAGTTTCCAGAGAAGCAAGTGGAAGCAGTTGGCTCAAGGAAGAGGGGAGTTGCTTTTGAGGTGGTTTCTCTCCCCAGGTCTATACCAGGTTGCAAAGTTTTCAAGACAAGTAATTTTTCTCCAAAGTTAAAGATAACTCCAACTATGGGTAGTTTTGTGCGGCTTATATTTAATAGAATGCCCTGGAAGCAGATCTTCATGTAGTGGGAATGCAGAGATTTTGGGCTTTGATGATTTCCCCAAATGCAAGGTTTCTAGATCCCCTCCTTGGAGTGCATCTGAGACAGGAAATCGTCGTTACGGATTCCATGGCCAAGCAGGGGTCAGGCCCTCTGCTCTGAGTGTTTTCTCTTCACATTCCTGCTTCATCCTCACAGTGGACATTCAAGGAAGATGGTGTTCGCATTTTCTATGTGACACTGCTGAAGTGCCAAGAAACCTTCCACGCTCTGTCCACTCCTCAATGAAGGCACTGTGTTTAGAAAGGTTGTCCCATACCTCTCAAAAGCCCCAAGGCACAAAGTCAATGAGACGCACCCTTTGAACCTTAAGAAGAAATTAGGAAGAAAATGAGTGGCGAGGAAATTTGCCACTCCTGAAGTGCGTAACCATTAGAAAACCACCTGATCTCCCTGAGTTCTGGTTTCTTCATCTGTAAAAGGCAGTTGCAGGAAAGCCCACTTAATTGGGCTGTTATAAAGATTACATGAAATAATGTATATCAGGATTTAGTAGGGCCTTGAGGTAGAAGGGGAGAAAGAATCAAGACCTGTTAAAACTATCTGGTGTGGAGGATCACAATTGGGTACAGTCTTCTCATTCTTAGAAAGGTTCTTTTCTAAAGAGCAGAGGCCTGGAGTCCAGCTGAGTTGTTTCAGTAGGAAGCTTCCTTTCTCCAGAGCGTACTCCCAGGCCCACAGCTGGCTGTTGTTTTAGGGTTAGTAGGTTCCCAGCAGGCCTGCCTTTCAAATGTGACTTAAGCGCTTTGAGAGTGAGGGAGCTCACAGTGGCCTGGTGAGGTGGCAACTTGTTCTGAGCCCTCCAGTAAGCTGTGCTTCCTGCAAGCACATCAGAGTGTCCTCGTTCCCCAGGTAGGTGTGGCTTAGACGGAGAACGTGAACCAGAATGTGCACAGTAAACAATAACCAAGGCTCAGAGGCTCCTTTAGCAAACTTAACCGGTCAGTTAGAACCTCACACTTAGTTTTTAATACCTCTAGGCCTGTATCATTTACTGCTTTAAGAGGGCATTTGTTTGCTAAGGAAGTGTAACTGAGCTCTCTAAGCATGTTGACTCCTTGGTGAAATGACAGTGTCAGTAATAGTGAATATAATTTCCCTCAATAGATGTCTCTTTCTTTCAGCTTAACGTCCTCCATACAGAGCTGGCTAAACAGTTGGCAGACACAATGGTTCTACCCATTGTACAATTTCGAGAAAAGGATCTCACAGGTAAAGTAACTGAATCCAGTGCCAGTTACCTTCAAAATATTAATTCATTTAATAATAATTCATACTGCATTAATTTCTTCAAGTGTATGGATCGCTGAGAAATGCCCTCTCTTTTTGAGCAGTTCAGTTTAACTAACTTTTATTGAATCTCCACTGTGTTCTTGGCTCAGCTAAAGGAGGTCACAGGCTAGTAAAACAAACTTGGAATCAGACAATGGTAACATCATGTGATGAGGGCAGCAGTACAGAAACATGCAGGGAATAGCAACAGCACACAAAAAGATGTCATTATGCTTTGGAGGACAGGGTGCCAGGGAAGGCTTCCTGGAGAAGGTGATCTCTAAGTTGGGCTTAAAGGATGAATTAGTGTTTACTGAGTAGACAAAGACAGCAAGGCTTGTGTTACCAATGGGGAGCATCTGTAAAGGCCCTCTGTTCTTGGGGAGCTATGACTGCTGTGGAGTGTAAGGTGGTGGGGGGCTTGGGGAGAAAAGAGGGGTGGGGACCATGCTTTATCTGTGCAAGACTTTGGGCGTGCAGCTGTGAACAAGGTGGCTCACTTTAGTGAGTGGGGTATCGGTGACTAGTTCAGAGAGTCTATTTGCCCTTTTGGACTAATTTTGATTCTTCTACTAAAATAAAACTTTAGAATAATTTTATCTCTCTTTGAAATCAGGATAGCCAAAAAATAAATATAAAAAAGAACAAACAATCTTGAAAAAACTTAGTTGATGTTACAAAAAAGAATCCGAATTTTCTGGTCCTTCTGTTATTTCATTGAAATTATTCGTTGCTTAGAGATTAAAGAATTGTATTTTTTGTATCAGTATTTTAGAACACTGGTAAAAAAATTGTTGACCAAAGAAGCCTAAACCTGAGTACTAAAAGGTCTGTTCATTATAATACATCCTCTTTAAAACTGTAACACCTTAAATTTTTAGGCAGAAAAGGTACAGTGTAAGTCAAAAGGCAAATCTTTTAAAAAAATAATAATTTTGTATTTTTCAATTATAGTTGACATACAATATTATGTTAATTTCAGGTATATAACCCAGTGATTAGACATTTATATACTAAATGATCACCCCAATAAATCTAGTACCCATTTGACTCCATACATACTTGTTACAATATTATTATTATTTATTTATTTTTTATTTTTTAATATATCTTTATTGACTTCAGAGAGAGGAAAGGAGATGGAGAGAGAGATATAGAAACATCAATGATGAGAGTCATTGATTGGCTGCAGCCCGCAACCCGGGCATGTGCCCTGACCGGGAATCGAACCCCGATCGCCTGGATCCTAGGTCGACGCTCAACCACTGAGCCACGCCCGGCCGGGCTACAATATTATTGACTATATTCCCTATGCTGTACTTTACATCCCCATGACTGTTCTGTAACTACTAATTTGTACTTCTTAATCCCTTCACTTTTTTTCCCATTGCCCCAACCCCCTCCCATCTGGCAACCATAAATATGTTCTCTGCATCTATGGGTCTGTTTCTGGTCTGCTTGTTCATTTATTTTGTTCTTTAGATTCCAAATATAAGTGAAATCATATGGTATTTGTCTTTGTCTGTCTGACTTATTTCACTCAGCATTCTCTAGGGCCATCCATGTTGTTGCAGATGGCAAGATTTCATTTTTTCTTTTTTTTTTAGTGGCTGAGTCATATTCCAGTGTATAATACGCAGAGGGCAAATCTTAAAGATGTCTTTTCCCTCTCTTT